TTCCTTCGCCCTCGCAGCAGGACCTTCCCCGCCGGCCCGCCCCCCCACTCACCCCCCCACCCACCGTTCCTGCGCCCTCCTAGCATTTCGGCCGCTTCTATCTCAAACAAAAAACTCAGCGGCTCGGTCTTCCTGCACTTCCATCCCGGCGCTAAATTGCAAAAAGGGGAGATCTCCCCCTCCGCCTCCTTCTGCAACCGACACCGCCAGCACCAACCTCACTAGCCCCGCTACTGCCGCCGCCGCCGCCACCATCATTTCCCTCCTCCTCTCCTTCTCCTCCTCCTCCCCCCTTTCTCCTCTGCTTTTGGCAGCGCCAGGACGTCCGGCGTGGTGGTGGTGGTGGTGGTGGTAGGGGTAGCGGTGCTGCTCTCGCTGCGGGGGTTGCGAGCGAGTAGCGAGCGAGCGGGGTCGCCTTTGAATCCTCCCGTTTTTTCAAGGTGCCTCGCAGAGCGCGAGCGGGAGCGAGCGGAGAGACTGCCGAGAGACGGGAAGGCAGCGAGGAGTCACGATGAGCGCACGAGGTGACGGAGCCGGGCAGCCTTCGACTTCCGCGGCTGCCAAGGAACAACCTGCCACCGCCGAACCGCCGAAGAGGGGACGAGGGAGACCCAGGAAGCAGCCACAAGTCAGTACTCCCGCTAGCTAGCCTAGAATCGAGCCGAGATATGTGGGAATCGGGCGTGCACGTGCCCTGCAAGCTCCTCGGCGTTGGCGGTGTGTGTTTGTAGATGCAAGAAGTGGTGTTGTGGCGGCGACGCGGGTTCCTTTGCTCGCCAGCAGCCGTAACGACGAGGGTCGGGGCTGCAGAGCCCACTGGCAAGGGGAGGAAGCGGAGCGCGCGCGGGTGTGTGTGCGTGTGCGCGCGTGAAAGAGAGAGGGAGAAACGTGCGAGCGCGCGCGCGCGCTTCTTTCTTTTTAACAGGCGAAAACTTATCTTGGCCTTTATTGTGTGGTTTGACTCTGTACCGCGGAGCAGCTCCGGTCCCACCAACCAGCGCTCGCTGGCTCGTTCCGAGCAGAGTTTAAATCTGAGCGTGTGAGCGGATTGAAAGGAAGAATGGGACGCGGGCTGTCTTCGCTACGTCTCAATCCTTGGGCCATGTGTCTCGTAGCTGGTCTCGCAGTGGCTACTGCCGCCTCTGGTCCCATCCGACCTTACCCGCTGCTCCCCTCCCATCGTGGCCTGGGGGGCGGTCAGACAGACTCCCCAATTGCGTGATACAAAGGGGGAGCCATTGTTGGCTGCGTGTTTACTCTGCATTTTGTAGGATTGTTTGACTTCCTTGAGGCTTCGTCTTGGTCCCCCCTCCCGCCTCCCCTTCAGGAAACTGGTTGCTCTGTGCGGGAGAGGGTGCTCCTAGGTTTAGAGCTGCGTGAGCACCAAATATAAGCCCAGAGCTGTAGTGCTCGTGGGACGTTGGAGTCCTGGGCATTCCCTTCTTTTCCACGAGGTGAAATCCATAACTACTATGTATTGCATTTGGCAAAGTAAACAGGCTACGGGGATACCCGGGTTTTCCAACAACCTTCAAGTCATGTGGAGAGAGAGAGAGATTCTCTGCGGATGCAACCAATTAAGGTTGTCGTTGTAGCGCTGCATAGCCGCATGGAGAACTTTTTCTGTTGTTGTTTGGATTGGTTTCCATTTCCTCCGAGGCAGCTATTAGCAATAGGAGTTGCCTAGTAAGTGCATTTAAAGCTGACTTCCGCGGGCATAAAAAAAGAACTTCATTCATTAGCATCAAACCACTTCCTTTAGAGCAAATCAGATGGTCGGCAAACTGATCTGAAACCTGAAATGTAAAATACCTCAAAGCTGGGGTTCGGTGTTGGGTGACCATTAGCTAGGACCTCACACTTGCGGTACTTTTCTCTTCACCTCCCCAACCATAAAGCAGTAAATATATTTGGGAAAGGACAGTATAAACAAGACACACACATTCCTTGTGTTACCTTTGTTAAACTATCGTGATTGCAGTGGCCCCCTCCCCCAATCCTAGCAAGATTTCCCATATTCTCCAGTACCAGTTTATTTTGGGCAGAAGTGTGTGGTGGTGGAAGAATCTTGTCTGAAAGTGGAATACTTTATGAAATACTCAGGAAAGAGATGTGCTTTTCTCCCAATCAATGCTGAACATTATTGCTGTTTTTTTGTTTTTTGTTTTTTTGCGGGGTGGGGGGAATATACTGTGTCAGTTATAGTGCAGTGAAATCCTATGCATGCCTGCTCAGAAGTAAGCCCACTGAATGCTAGGCTTTAGTCCTAGGTAAGTGTGTATAGGATTACAGACTTGATTTATTTTGCAACCTAAAGAATTCACTAGAGTTTTAAGATCCATTCACAACTGTACTTAATTAGTCAAACTTCATCCTGTAATCCAAATGAAATGTTTGATATTTGAAAGTGGATGTGGGTTTTTTTTTTCTTTTAGTCCATATGATTCATTGAATAAACATTTGAATTCTGAAACTGGAATCCTATACATTGAAATGAGACTTCTGTTTACTATCAGACGGAAACCATTGGGGGAAATATCTGAACAAAAACTGGTTTTATATAATCTGAATCTCAGTCATGTTATAAACTCTAAACTGTTTTCTCATCAGGCCAGAACATGCAGAGCCCCCACATACAATATATAGATTCCATTAAGTTAGACAAATGGAAGTGGATTGTAAACTACAGAACAAAGCAAAGCTGGCTTTCGTAACTTTCATAACAAGAGAAAAAAAGGTGCCTTAAAGGTTCTTTAAGGTAGGAATCCCAGTCTCAAGTGATTACAAATGTATATTTAATGAACAATTATCAGGTGAGTGCAAAATGCCTCCACTCATTTAGATGACAAAAGTTATTCTTATTAATTGTATTTGGTTGGGAAAAATGTATTTCAACTATAATATCAGACATGCTTTTTCATTGTTTTGCCATGGAGCTCAAGTTGCTATGAAGAAACATTTTAATTAATGTAGATAAACGCATACTGTTATTACCCAGGTTTAACATTTTTTTCACTATTAAACTTGAGTCACTCCTTGACATAATATGTGTGTGTGTGCACTTAAATGTTGTTTGTATTTAGATTTGTGTTGAGTTTCTTGGGACAATAGTGTGTTTTCTGTTTTTAGGAACCTGCAGGGGAGCCATCTCCCAAAAGACCAAGAGGAAGACCTAAAGGAAGCAAAAACAAGAGTCCCTCTAAAGCAGCTCAGAAGGTGAGATTATTCCAGAACAAAAGATTTGCTTTCATTACCTCCCACTTTTTAGCTATCGTCTAAACAGTTTCGCGTTTAACCTCTGAACTGTGCGGAGTTTGGGCCATTTTAATAATATTTCAGGCAGGAATGTTGGAGGAGGATCTTGGACGTATGAGGAGCCATTCCCCACCCCCCTTTTATAGCTTCTACATATGTTTAATTTCCAAATACAAGATTGTACTATAGAAGAAATTTGTGTTCACTACTATAAAATAAGTATCTCCCACTGTTAGTTTCTAACATAAATTGTTCAAATTCTGTAAATTTCTTAATATATCTAAACAAACTGTTACTCTAATATTTTATTAAATATGTAGCTAAGTATAAAATAATCATCAGAATATATGTTTTTTCATACATAATACACACACACACACACACACACACAAACATATATACATACATACATACTTGCACGTACACACCATCAGACATTAGAGTTGCATGCCAGGCTGTCTTGTGTTGCTTGCAGTTAAGAGGTGTGTTTTGGGGGGAGAAATACCACATTTTGAACGATTGTTGCATTCTGAGTATTGTCAAGGGAAGGATGCATGAATTCATTAGTTTATTGAAGTAATCTAGTTTGTCCCCAGATAATTTCCTGTCTTAAACTTTACAGATTCCACGGCATGACAGTACAAGAAAAAACTTTTTAAAAAATCAGGGAAAATGCAAGCTATAATGTTATGCCATTAACAGTTTCTTGATAAGAATACTGCTGACCTTACGAATCAATTTTAAGTAATTTTGAACTGCCATGAAGCTTGTCCGGTAGACCAGTCACTACCATCAGTGTTTTTGATTTACTGTACAAATATTATATCATAAACATTCTGTTATTGTTATACTGATGTGGTATTCCTCTAGTTAAAAAGTTTTTTTTAAGTATGGGTTTTTTATATGTGTACACTAGTTTTGTCGCAACTTATGATAAATGTGTGTTTTTTTAAAATTTAGGGGCTGATAATGTTTTTTCTTTCTTTAATTTAGCTCCTTTGAGTTTCAGTACAGAAAACCATACTTTACTTCTTTTACCTTTGCCTAACCCCTTTTCCCCCCCGTTTTTGCAAATGGAATTTAAAAATGCCAAAGATATTTCAGTGATATACCTAATTTAAAAAAGAATATTGTAGAAAGGCTGCATACAAACACAACAAAAATAATCAAGGTACTGGGAGAAACTTTCTTAGGAGAAAAAAATTACAAGTCTGAAACTTTAATTCCCCCCCCAAAAAGGGGGGGCAGGTAAGGTGATACGATAGGGGTATATAAAATCAAACATGGTGTCAAGGAAATGGATGTCTCATAATGCTAGAAGTCATAATCCTGGAGTCATCCCATAAAGTTGATAGTAGGCAATATAAGACAGGTAAAGGTTAGCCAATGACATTTCCTATAACGAGATGTAGCAATGACCACTAATGTGAATAGCTTTAAAGAAAAATTAGAGCAGCCCTCTTTATTCCTTCACAGAATTTCATGACCATTGTCTTGTAGGCTGGGAACAGGGATTCTAAAGCTTATGGAGGGCACTACGTGGGAAAAGACTGAACTTACTTAAGGAGACAGCTGTCCGTGGGTACCAGTCTCAAAGGTGTTAAATCTTTTTCCAGGATCAGAGACTGCTTGATAATTTCTGGAGGGTTCTCATGTCCTGCTATAGGCTTTCCTTAGGTCCCTAGCTGGCCACTGTGGAAACAGAAAATTGGACTACATAGGTTGATACATCCTGCTGAGCCATAATGTTGTGTGTTTGGTTTTGATTCAGTGAGATGTGTGAAATCAATCTCTCTGATTTTGTAAACCATTGTGTATGGTTTAGGGTTATGTGTGAACCCAGATATTAGGCTTATTCAACAAATCACAGGTAATTTAAATAATAGCTTAGCATGATCAGTGAACCCTGTTAGTGAGTCTGCTATTTGCCCCATATCACAAAACTTACACTGCTAGTCTTTGTAGTAAGGAGTTATTGTTATGTTTGTAGCAAATAGCATTTGAGATTTATAAATTTAGATAATAAATCAGCTCTCAGAGTGATCTTAACTATTGATCCTATTGGATTCAGTTGCAGAACAAATATGTTTAGGATTGTGCATAGACATAAAAGTTAATTAACATATTTTTTAGGATTATTTTGTAATATTAAGCTAATTTAGAAAGAATTATGAGTTCTTTCTAAATAGACATGTTCATGAAGGAATAGCCACACTTTTGTTCATAATTCAAATATGTTATTCTTAAAATTGTTGATTGTTTTAAGGATAGAATGATTTTGTTCTGCAAATGATATCAGTTTTGCATTAAAAATATACAATCTACTAGATGCTGTGGATCTTTGAAACACAGGAGTTGTATAACGGTAGTTATAGAAGAGGCAGTTCTACTTTCAAGTTCTGATAATTGAAACAGGTTTGGTGCAAGAAGTTGTAAGTGGATTCTGTCCATGAATATCTTGATTTTCCAAAATCTTCCAAAATATATCTTCCAAAATATATTCTACAATAGTTATTGGATTTACAGTAGATACTGTCAGTTAAGTTTTTCTTTACGTAGATTAAATGTCTACTTTATAAAAGGACTGGTGTTGCCTATTTTTGAAGAATCATAATTTCTAAGAATGTTGAGATGTAGATAATTAATCTGATCTATATATGATTCTCTATCCCAATCATTCCTATTGGGAAAATAGATTTGTTTTTATAGAAGAATATTCATATGAATTCGATTTCTTCACTCAAATGGGAAAACTGGGTATATGTATTGTTTAATTAATTTATACTGTGCCTTTCCATGGATAAAGCAGCTGATAAAAATACAAACTTGTAAAGTCTAATGAACAAATTATAATTGAAATACATAAAGATGTATAAATTATAGAAGTGCTTTGTCCTTTTGAACCTGTAGGAATTATAATCCGCTTTGCAATTCCATTGCATATAAAGTGACGTAGCTTGCACATTCCTTATAACATTGAATTCTTAGGAAAAATATATTCATTATTAACTGTAGCTGTAAACTTTTTATTGGTCTGAGATATGGCTATTACATAATTTTAAAACACATATACATGTTTATTTCCAATCTAGATTTGAAGGCAGGGCTTGTCACTGCTAAAATAATTTTACCATAAAAGTGGAATGTACCATAAGGAAATATTGCCAGAATTTATAGTAAATAATAGGTGGCTTCTTTCTCAAAGTAACTAATTGAAATGTATTATGCTTACAATATGCAAGATAAATGTATACTGGTAGAATTTACAGAGGCAAGTAAAGAAGTCTCTCTTGATTAATTGATAAGGTGTTCTCTTGTGAACTCTACACTTCATAATTAAAAATCTGTATTACAGCTGGCAAGACATTCATATATATATGCATATGTATATGTATATAGGATGTTGATCTTTGTTATATTTTAGAGCAAATTCCATTAAATCTATTGGGATTGTCCAGGAATGCTCAATGATGTATATTTTAAATTTCTTGCTGCATTTTTTTAAAGCTTACACAGCTTCTGGTAGACTTAGAAATTGGGCCTGGGAGGCATTTAAAAACAAATTGAGCTTGTTAGGAAATTAGTAGTGTGAAACTTGACAATACATAAAAATGCTGCAGGACCTAATGAGTAGCTTGTTTCATGTCTGCTGCACAAATTCCAGGGAATAGCCCATAAAAACAGTAATATAAAACCCACAACTAAATGAATGTATCATTAACAGAACTTGCTAAAACAACAGTAGCAATATTAGCTCTTTTTAAGTTTTAAGTCCATGAAGGAATCAAATAAGAGATAAAACATGAAAGATGGGAAACAGGAAAGTACTTTGTACTTGTATGTTTTGCACTGTTCCAATTCAGATGTTTCTTTCACTGAACAAATTCTTATGTTGTTTGAAAATGTATTTTTTAAATATTTGGAAATGAGGAAAATTGTTTAATATAAGGAAAAATTGTTGATAGCTTCTAAAACAAGGATAGATATCTTATAGTTTCTATTCTGGAGATTTAGATTTATAGTTCATATTCTATGTTTGTGCCTCATAAAATACATACAGTTGATTTTTTCTGGAATGAAGATATATATTTGGGGCATAGTGTTACAAATTGTTTGGAAGTGAGTTCTTGTCACATTAATGGGACTTAAGTACATATTAGATGAAATGACAAATCAAATTCATCCTACTTTTAAAAATATAAATCTAGCTTAAATTGTAGTTTGTTGGAAAATAAGTTGTTTATTAACTATTAAAAAATAAAACTGCTTTGAGGAAAGAACGTGGAGATTACATATATCTATTGTCTCTGAAATATCTATATGCCTTTTATTCACCAGTCTGTTAAGATAAACAGCCTAAACTGTGTGAATATCTTGAACGTATTATTGTCTTTTCCATTCTTCAGACAGTATCACCCACAGTACCCACAATGAGACACTGAGGAAGAAGCCTAATTTGCAAGCATAGATCACATCTGTATGTAGACTGCCATTTATTTATACTTGGGACAGGAAAAGAAACCAGTCCCCTCCTTTGTGGTCAAATTTGCAAACATAGAGTGAAAGAAGATGCAGGGTTTTAGCTGCTCTAGCTATCTTTTTATTTAGAACAGTGGTTCCTCCCCCCCCCAGTAAAGCACTTCCTAGAACTGCCTTTGTTAGCATGTTTCCTTTACTTCCAAGAAATGCCTGCAATTTATGGCTTTTTGTAGACTGCTGCCAGATTTGATCTTGAGGGTCTATTAAGATACGAGTTCTTCCTCTGTTACTAATATTTAATCTTGAATGTGCCCTTAAAAATAACTTTTCACACCAGCTATGACCATGTTCGTAAATAGAAAATGGTGGGACTGCAGAGTTTGGCACATGGTGAAACAAGAAATGGGATTAGTTTGGTATGTGCACAGTTCATAACTATATTCACATACTGGTGATAGTTATTAAAGACGTCAGAGATATAATCTAATAAATGCAAAGCAAACCATGTCTGCTAAAGCGGTGATTTGATTACTTTAACATGTGCTGATTTGTATGAATTCATGCAGGCAGCATTCTCTGCATGCCAGCTAGTCTGTGGATTGGTAGACTTTTGGTAGTGCTGTTGTGCTCTGTTGCCTACTCTTTTCTCAGTAACTTAGGTATAGGTTATGAGTAAAAGGCAGATTTTACTTTTGTAGAGAGGAGTGGAATGTAGTATGCTTCCTTATCATAATTCTGAAGCTTGAAGCTGTTTACCTGTGGAACTGACTCACGCAAAATATTTTCATGTGGTCATCCCCCGACTGTGGAGAGTAGTAGAGGGTCTAAAATGGTAAACACACAAATATATTACTCTTCCAGATGTTATAGTATAGATGATCATATATGATTATTGCAGACTCTGGAACCATGTGACTTTTAGTGTTCTTCCCATCTGAACATGGTTAAATGATGGCAGTTATTTTCCTCAGGTGATTCATCTCAAATATTATGAGGATTATGAATTGTTTGAGTATTTCTTTTTTACTTAAAAGTTTTAGATATTTCAGAATTTTCCCTGTAAGGCCATCACCTCCCCATTTACAGAAAATAAACATAGTGTTCGTAAACTTATACCTTATATCTCCAGGAAGGCTAACCTGATTATACAAGCAACTCAGTGCTAGAAAATAGTAATTTAGGGGTTATCAATTGTACTAAAATGTGGAGGATGCAGTGATTAGCTGAATTGACTCTTCAGACAGAAAAACCTAAAATTATGGATGGATGGGTGTAGACTGGTATATGTCCTTGTCACTTTTAGTTTGCCCATATCTCTTTTATGTGATTCTTTAAAGTTGCTGTATAAATGTGTGTGTGTCTGTATTCAAAATGTGTGTATTCAGTACTCAGAAAGAGTATTCAAAATGGATTTAAAGCATTTATTTTGAGCTTAGAATATATATCATGTGAAAAATGGTGAATAGTTAATTGCATATTAGTCTGAAAGATGCCAATTATGTCAATTTATATCAGAATTCAAAGTCTGATCAAACAACCATATGTAAATTTCCTTCAATTTTTTCATACATGAAAGGAATAATAAAGCTTGTTGTGCCTTTAATGAAACAGAATAGAAAAAGAAAAAAAATGGGGGGAAAAGATAAAAAAGAAATGAAAAAAACCCCCCAAAATATTTTATAAATGAGGGCTTCTCCTAGAAATATACAGGAATAATCAAGGATAGTCTAAGATAGGCTATCAAATCTGGGCTGCAAAAATACAGTTGATCACTAGATGGGAGCAATGTTTTTTCTTTCTCTTTGCTACCATCTACTGGTCTTTCAGATTTTTGGAACTATCCTTGAAATTTTGAGGGTGATATCAGATTCTGTATTTAATATCAACTTCCTTATATATATTATTCCCCTCTATATAATATGGAAAAATAGGTAATAATTCAGATTTTGACTAGAAACCGAGAAGTACCATTGAAATGTTTTCAGGATTAATCTTCTGCCTAACTTGATTCTAGACATGTCCAGAAAATTGGATCCCTAGTGAAAGAGTGATTGATGGAATATTTTAAGCAATATCCACTGGATTTCAAGTGATAAACTCTTAATACAGATATGTTTCCTTATGCAGAAAGAGTTGTTTGAACATGGTGTCTTAAGAAAATGGCATTTACACTATAAACTGATATTTATGATTGAATAGGAAGATTTTTTAAAACACATTTTAAATGATATTTTGTCCTTCAATATTGCGAATGTTATATTTTCACGTTTCTTCCCTATAATGGGATATAGATATTTATCTACATTTATCAATGTGTCAAGGAATAGTAGAAACTGCTGCAGTATTTTCTCATGTTATATCAGAATTCCCTTTACAAGGCAGTCATGTACAAGTCATGACTGTCATGTAGTCACGTACAAAGATTTTCAGTCAGGAACTGATAGAATGGAGTGATGAAGTACTAAAGGAAAAACAGAAAAATAGACAATACTCTATTAATTACAGAATACAGTGGAACCTCAGGTTACGAATTTAATTCGTTCCGTGACTCTGGTCACACCCCGAATTGGTCGCAACCCGAAG